ATCGAGTCCCACATCGGGCTCCCTGCATAGAGCCTGCTTCTCCCTCTGTCTGTGTCTCTGCCCCTCTCTCTGTGCCTATGAATAAATAAATAAAATATTTAAAAAGAAAAAAAAAGAGAATATAACATTTGTTAATACTTAAGCACAAAACATAAGAGCAACCTAAATATATAAAGCAAATATTAACAGACCTAAAGAGAAAAATAATAGTAGGAGATTTCAGTACCCCACTTTCATCAATGAATAGATCATCCAAACAAAAAATCAATAAGAAAACATTGAACTTAAATGACACTTTACATCAAATAGACTTAACAGACACTTATAGAACTTTTCTTCCAAAAGTGGCAGAGTATACATTCTTCTCAAACACACTTGGTCCATTCTCCATGATATGTATCATGACATCATGGTATATAATAGATCATATATTAGTCCACAATGCAATTTTTAATAAGTTTAATTAGATTTAAATCATATCAACTATCTTTTCTAGAAATGAAACTAGAAATCAGTTACAAGAAGAAAACTGGAAAAATCACAAATATATGGAGATTCAACCAATGGGTGAAAAAAGAAATCAAAAGCAAAATCAAGAAACATCTTGGGAAAAATGAAAATGGCAATATAGCATACTTAAAACCTAAGAGATGAAGCAAAAGCAATCTAAGAGGGAAGTTCATAGCAATAAATACCAACAACCTTAGGCCATAACTAAACTTTATACCTCAAGTTACTAAAGCCCATGGTTATTAGAAGGAAGGAGATAAAGAACAGAGCAGAAACAAAGGTAGTAGAGACTAAAAAAACAACAGAAAATATCAATGACATAAAGAGCTGATACTTTGAAAAGTTTAAAAAAATAGATTCACAAAAAAATAATAAAAAGAGGACTCAACTAAATAAAATCATTTATAAAAGAGGAAACATTAGAATTGATGCTACAGAAATACAGAGATCATAAGAGACTACTGTGATCAATTCTACAAGACATGGATAAATTCCTAGAAACATACAATCTTCCATGACTTAATCATGAAATAGAAAATCTGAGCAGACCAATTACCAGTAGGAAAATTGAATCAGTCATTTGAAACCTTCCACCAATTCAATGACCATATGGCTTCACTAGTGAATTTTATGAAACCATTAAAGTAGAATTAATACTAATCTTTCTCAGACTCTTCCAAAATATAGAAGAGGAGGGAACACTTCCAAACTCATTTTATAAGATCAGCATTACCCTGATAGCAAAACCAGAGAAGAAAACTACAGGAAAAGAAAAATACAGGTCAATATCCCTAATGAATAAATGTAAAATTCCTCAACAAAATATTAGTGAACTGAGTACAACAGTACATTAAAAGAACCATGATGAAGTAGGATTTTTTCCCCAGGGTTACAATGATTTAACAACCACAGATCAATTGATGTGATAGACCACAATAACAAAATAAAGCATAAAAAGAAAATCACATAATCCTCTCAACAGATGCAGAAAAAGCATTTGAAAAATTTAACATCCATTCATGATGAAAACTCTCAACAATATGGATATAGAAGAAAGATACCTGAATACAATAACATACATGGCAAGTCCACAGCTAACATCATACTCAATGCTGAAAAACTGAAAGCTTTCTAAGATCGGAACAAAACAAGGATGCCTACTCTCACCATTTTTATTCAGCCATAGCACCGGAACTCCTAGCCAGAGCAATTAGGCAAGAAAAAAATAAAGTCATCCAAATCAGAAAAGAAATAAAACTATCTATTTGCAGATTACATGCTTCTATATGTAAAAAACAAAACAAACAAAAAAAAAAAACACTAAGGATTCCACCAAAATAAACTGTTAAAACTAATAAACAAATTAGTAAAGTTGCAGGATACAAAACCAATATATAAAAATCAGTTGCATTTCTATGCACTAATATTGAGAGAAATTAAGAAAATCCCATTAATAATTGCATCAAAAAGAATATAATACCTAGGAATAAAATTAACCAAGGAAGTGAAAATCTTACACACTGAAAACTGCAAGACATTGGAAAAAAAAAAAAAAGGAAGACACAAATAAATAGATATTTCATGGTCATGGATTAAAATAATTAATATTGTTGTAATGTCCATTTTGCCTAAAGCAATCTACAAATCCAGTACAATTCCTATCAAAATTCCAATGGCATTTTTTACAGAAATAGAACATTCATTCCTAATGAAAACACAGAGGACCCCAAATGTTCAAAGCATCTTGAGAAAAGTGAACAGAACTGAAGACATCAGTTCCTGATCAAATTATATTACAAAGCTGTAGTAATCAAAACAATATGGTACTGGCATAAAAACAGACAGATCAGTGGAACAAAATAGAGTAGCCATAAATAAACCCACGCATATATGGTCAATTGAACTTACAACAAGGGAACAAAGAATATACAATGGGGAAAGGATATTTGTCTTCAACAAATAGAGGGAAAACTGGACAGTTACATGAACAAGAATGAAATAGGACCGCTATCTTAAACTATAGAAAAAATCAACTCAATATAAAGACTTGAATGTAAGACTACCTAAAGCCATAGAGCTCCTGGAATAAAACATAGAGAATAAGCTTCTAGACATAATTCTTGGCAGTGTTTTTCTGGATTTGACTCCAAAAGCAAAGGCAACAAAAGCAAAAATAAATGGGACTATGTCATTCTAAAAACCTGTGCAACCAAGGAAGTCATCAACAAAATGAAAAGGCAACCTATGGAATGGAAGAAAATATTCACAAATTATATATCTGATAAAAAGTTATTATCCAAAACATATAAAGAACTCATAAAACTCAGTAGAAAAAAATCCAATTAAAAAAATGGGCAAAGAATCTGAATAGACATTTTTCCAAATAATAAGACATCTAAATGGCAAACAGGTACATGAAAAGATGCTTAATATCACTAATCATCAGGGAAATGGAAATCAAAATCACAATGGGATACCACTTTACATTTGTTAGAATGGCTATTACAAAAAGATGAGATAAGACGTAAAGTTAGTGGGAATGTAAATTGGTTCAGCCACTATGAAAAGCCACTATTTCAAAAGATTTTGAAAGTTGCTCAAAAATTTAAAAATAGAACCACTACATGATCCAGCATTTCCATCTGGTACCTACCAAAAGAAATGAAATCACTATCTTGGAAAGGTGTCTGCACCCCCATGTTCATTGTAGAATTATTTGTAATAGCCAAGACATGGAACAACCTATATTTACTGACAGATGAATGGATAAAGAAATTGTGGTATGCATGTACAATGGAATATTACTGAACCATAAAAATAAAGGATATACTGCCACTTGCACCAACATAGATGGACCTGAGTGCATTATGTGAAGTAAAATAAGTTAGAGAAAGATAAACACTTTATAATCTCACATATATGAGATAAATAAATCTTGAGGATGTAATGTCAGTATGGTTACTATAGTTAATACTGCTGTATTGTATATTTGAAAGTTTCTAAGAAAGTAGATTATGAGAGCTCTCTTTACAAGAAAAAATACTTAGTAACTATGTAGTGATGGATGTTAACGAAACTTACTGTGGTAATCTTTTCACAATACATACACAAGGGACACCTGGGTGGCTCAGTGGTTGAGCATCTGCCTTTGGCTCAGGGCATGATCCCAGGGTTCTGGGATCAAATCCCACATGGGGCTCACCACAGGGAGCCTGCTTCTTCTTCTGCTTATGTGTCTGCCTTTGTGTGTCTCTCATGAATAAATAAATAAAATCTTTAAATATACATATGTGTGTATCACATCATTTTTTACATCTAAAATTAATGCAATGTTATTTGTCAATTATATCTCAACTTAATATGGAAATTTTAAAATAAATAGCTATTGACTCTTTGTGAATAGGACACAAGAAAAAAACAATAAAATGTAAGACAATTTTAGATTATTTCACAGTGAATGTAGTTAAAGAGTAAACTCATTTTCCCCTCAAACTTCTGTTTTGGGGAAAGATTCTTACATGACTTTTAAAATCTGTTGTAAAATTTTAGATATAAACTAATCTGTTGTTTTCATATGATGAAAATGAGATGTTACCAGGTAAAGTAACCCAGCCAATTATTGGCAGAGCATGATTCCAACTCTTATATGAAATCCAGGCCTTCAACTCTTGACTCCTAACTTCCAGTGCTTTTCCATTGTTTATGTTTCTTATCTAGTTACTTAGCTTAAAAGTGGCTTGGAAATGTACAGTGATCTCTGAAAGGCCTTTCTACTTTAACTTGCCCATGTTTTTCAATTGATCCATCAGCAGCTGAGTTCCCCACTGCCATTCATTTGTGAGAAACTTTATTTTACTTTAAGACTTACACCCGGGATCCCTGGGTGGCACAGCGGTTTGGCGCCTGCCCTTGGCCCAGGGCGCGATCCTGGAGACCCGGGATCGAATCCCACGTCAGGCTCCCGGTGCATGGAGCCTGCTTCTCTCTCTGCCTGTGTCTCTGCCTCTCTCTCTCTCTCTCTCTGTGTGTGTGACTATCATAAAAATAAATAAAATTAAAAAAAAAAAGACTTACACCCTTTTCTAAGAAACAAGAGCACCAATGTGAGTCTCACTTCTTGAGTGCTTTTTGTGTTAGACTTTTGAACATAAATATTTCTGTGCTAAACATTTTTAACACATTTCTCTTACTGAAATCTTAGAATTGTATGAGATATAAAGAATGTTAGAGAAAGAAGATATTTTGGCCATTATTTCTTTAAATTGGCTAATTTATTCTGATTCCATGTTCAGTAAATTTTTCCAATCTATCACACTATTATTGTAAAAACTTTAGCCAAAGGGCCCAATTTGTATAGCAATTGGTGAATCTCTAGTTGTGATAATTTTTTCTAAAACAGTTGTTCACAATGATTGATCTTGTTCTTAAATGTATTTAAACCAATCATTCACTACAATTTAGTATTCATTCATTTTCTCTTTCCTTTTCAGGCCTGTATGTGGAATCAGAGGGAAAACTCTCATAATTAACCTGCCAGGTAGCAAGAAAGGATCTCAGGTAAGCAACCTTGAAATTTATATGATTTAGTGTGAAGTTTTAGCCAACTTCAAGAGTTAGCCCACAAAAAACTTGGAGCACTCCATGAGACTGCCCTCACTTCTGACACCAGTTGCAATTCCGTGCATTCCCAAAACCTCCCTCAGTTTCAATAATTCACTAAAAAGACTCACCAAAAGATATGGTGATAGATATACTGACGGTTATGGTTTATGACACAGAAAAGATACACATTAAAAGTAACCAAGAGTAGAAGACAGGTACCGAATGTCGACCTTCTGTTATCCTCTCCCTGTAGAATCATGAATGCATTACTCTCTTGGCATCAGTGTATAACAGCACAGGAAGTATTGCCAATCAGGAAAGCTCCAAGCCTTTGGTGTTTAGAGTTTTACTGGGGCTCATCATGTACTGCCCATAATGCTGACCGTTAGTCTCTAGCCCTTTCCAAAGGTTAGACTATTTCCTTTAGTCTCCAGCATGTTCCAGAGGCAAAATTGATAAAAAATGCCCAAAGCCCTTTTCATAAATCACACTGTTACAATGTCTGGTGGCCAAAGTTCCCAGGTAACAAAGACACTCCTGTCACATCCCAGTAACTGAGTGCAAAAGCCAGACTCTCGTGGGGTAAAGTTAATTCATTATACAAGCTACTTCCTGGCTTTTGGCCAAGGCTCTCTTACAGAAAAATGATTGTATTTTTCTGGCTGGACATCTATTATGTACTATAGCATTTATATTACAGATATAGCAACATTATCAGTGTGAATATGTCTGAGATTTGGAGGAGCCAGTGTGGGATAGGGATAAATTTAAGAAATAACTAATTTATCCTCTAAAACCTTTACACACATTTCATATTTTTGTACTAATATATTAATTTTTTACCTTGATCTGCTACTGTTTGTATCCTATGATACATTTGCTCAGAACTGTTTACCACAGACATTAGCTGTCCTGTTCAGGCCAGTCATTTTCTATTGGTATTACATTTTGAGGGGGATTTAACTCAATTTCCCAATACATATGACTATCAATGTCAGTATTATAATCTTATTAGCAATGCCAGTATTATAACATTTCACAGTGAAGTTGTAGATATAACTTGAAATAGGAGTTAAAAGATAACTGGCACACTACTGGAGTTCTATACAGACATTAACAGTTAGCCTAGCCTATTATCATATCATATGATCAAAATGTCTCCCAGAGCTATGCTTCTTAGGTTTACAGTCTTGTCAGGTTCCCAAAGCAGTAGTCTCAGCAACATACAGCTTTAACCTTTCTGGCATATGTTATAACTGAGCTAAGAAACAATATCCTCTCTTGTTCTAAGGATTTTAAGATACCAATATATTGGTTCTCCTTCATTGCATAACCCATTTATTCATTCCTTTACCTCCAGCTACCATTCCTCCTTCTTTTCATTTATACTCAGACTTTTCCTCTTAAAATCTCTTAATGTGACTGTTGATTTGGCCACTGTGCTGGTCCAGATTTCCACCAGTAATACTCATTTAACAAGTGCCACCAACTTTTCCTTTTCCAATCATACAAGATAGGGTTTCATAAGTACAGAACTAGTGAGCAATCTCAAACACCAGTCAATATAACTGCATTCACTGTCAATCCCAATTTGGCCAGATGGAGTCAGGCATAATCTACCCCATCAGGCCCTTAGGAACTCTGACATAAAGGTTTAAAGGTACAGTTAATAGTTTCTGCTTAAGAATCATCCTGCTTCTGGCATGCACAGTTGCAGCCCTGATCCTAGTGCAACACAGAATCAGGTAAAAAAAAAAAAAAAAAGGACTTTGATGTGATGTGATGTTGTGATGAAAGAAAAAGTATAGTCCTAAGAAAAAAGTGTAGTCAGACCAGCATCTGCCCCAGTCAACTCTTCCTAGAAAAGTTGAGGACTATATGTATTTATTTAGTAGGGAACCTGCTTTCGCCTCCCTCATGTTGAATGTGACCACACACTGATGAGAGCATATAAGCCATGTTCTCCTTTTTTAGACAATAAATGTTTCCATAGCCCATTCCAATTTTCTATCAAATCATTGCTCTGTATATGAAAGTGTGTACCTTGGTCTAAAGAAATGTGACTGCAGTCATTGGTACAATATTTTCTGTTCTAGTCCTTTTATAGTACACTGAGTATTTGCATCTGCCATTGGGTAAGCAAAGCCCAGTCCAGAGTACATATCTATTCCTGTTAGGATTCATTTGTAGCCTCAAGGGACTAGCAGCACCAGTCCAACTTGCTAGCTATGTGCAGGACTTTCCCCTATGGAATCTGCTGCCTAACCTTCTGCTGTCTGTCTTTTTTGTTAGCAGACAGAACAGTTCTCATGGGCATTTTGTGCCTCAGAGGCTGCAAGAAGACTTATCGATTCAACCCATATCTGCATGGTTACAGTCCCCCATTGCCACCTCATCTCATGGACCCAGGTGCCATGTCAAGCATGCATACTGGGATATCTGCTCACCAGTTCCAATTAACTTCCAATTCTGAACGGGGGTTCTTCTGACAGGCATTGATGTATCTTATTTTAATATACCCCTTATATTCCCAGAGTGATTTCCATAGGCCATGCCCCATACAAGCATCCATTTTCCTTTGTCCTTCTGCCTGACCATATTGCCAGGTCACTGGACACTTCCTATGAGTTGGTTAAAACCCAAACATAAGGGCAAACATCATGCAGTTCAGCCTATCGAGCTGATTTGTTTTTACCTTCTTCAATCAGAGTGGCGGCCTTCCAATCAGGATGCTGTCCCTTCACCTTGGAATTGCCATCCATAAATCAAGCAGCTCTTTGTTGATCAATAGAAAGCTGTTTATAGGGCACCGCCCAAGTGGCCCAAGTGGCCATAGGATCCAGCAACTCCTCAGGTGGTTCCGAAGTCGGCCCTAGGTGAAAAGAGGCTACCTGCTCGTGAGTACCTCCTTGCATTCTCCTGGTAGCATGATCCTATATGCACCATTTCCATTTTATTATGGAACTCTCCTGGGCATTGCCTTCTCCATTAGAGCATTTCTCTGATATTGCCCAAAACATTATCGATATTTCAGGTTTCAAGATTATTTTATGTTCTTCAGTCATAAGGGCAGTCTCAATTAAAGTCCAATAGCAAGCTAGTAATTGTCTCTCAAATGGGAAATTTCTGGCCCAAAGTCCCAGCAGTTGTTGCTATGTGGCACCCACAGATTTTTTCCAGAAACCCAATTTGCCCTTCACACAGGGCTGTTGTACAGCATATTAATGACCTGTGTGTAGACTCAGGCAATCTTACTTCTTCCCCCTTAGTATGTACATTATATATTGGTGGAAGAGCTGATTTATATGCTTTCTGTTTTACAATACTAGGTAGAGGAAGAATTATCCAGTCAAGCACAATATCCATCCCCATAATACATTCAGGTGTAAAGGAGACTAACCACTTCATATAAAGTTCACTGTCCAGACATTCTAATTTTCATCCCAACTGTAATTCTATCAACTGTTATATCCCTGTATGTTTCCAATCTAACTGTACCTCTCATTAGAACTTCAAGAGGTTAAAAAAAAAAAAAAAAGAACTTCAAGAGGTATTAGAATGATAGTACATGGTGGGTCCCATGTTGAGGAATCCCAGAAAAGTATCTACTCCATCCCATGACCATTCTATCCATTTATGTGCATATGTATGGCCTTGGATTTCTAAACCTGGGTTGGACCAAGGAATTTTCAGACTCCTCTGTCAGGCCTTATCTTGATTAGATTATGGGACCATCACTTAAGGTGATTCAAGGTGGTTTCTTTTAGTTATCTTTGCCTCCTAGCTTTTAAAATTCCTTCAAACTAGGATAAATAGATTGTTTAGGACCCTTAATGGTTGGGAGACCATTGCTCCCATAATGTTGCTACATTAACACCTTTCTTTTGCCCACAACAGTGCTCACTTTATCATCCACTTCTTAGTAATCATTTAAATACTTCTGCCCTGTTAGGACAAGTCCCTTGAATCTCTCATTTCTCTTTCCCCACTGTTTTATGAATAAGTCTAACTTTATTCACTTTGTATTGCTTCAGCATAACACTTTTCTTTGGAAGCAGCTCAGGAGCTAGCAGCTGTATGTTAAATCAGCCAAAATCTAAGCTTGATGTAGCCTCAGGATATACCCCAGCATTCTTCCTTTTGTTTAGCTAGTGCAAATAGCAATCACCAAAAGATTGTAAATTTACCTTATTTTTTTATGCATCCAATGACAAACTCCTTAAAAATTAGATCTTTCATTTCAAAATTCTAATGCTAACTTTTATCTCCAGTAACTAATCACAGCACAGCTATAATTCCATACTGTAAGTGATCCTGTGTTTATCCAGGCTCTACAGATTCATCATCCTCACCCTCTCTTCATTTCTTTGCCCAGATCATGTTTCATGATCACATGAGTCAGGATCTTTCTAGTGAGTCGCACTCCTAACACCAACTGTAAGGAGTTCGGGCTAACTGCAAAAGTTAGCCAACTGCAAAAGTTAGCCAACTATAAACTTGGAGCACTCCACAAGACTTCCCTCATTTCTGATACCAATTTGCAATTCAGTGGGTTTCTAAAACCACCCTCAATTTTAATAATTAACTAGAAGGACTCACAAAACTCACTGAAAGCTGCTATACTCACAGTTATGGTGTATTGCAGGGAAAGAATACAGACTGAAATCAATCAAGAGAAGTAGTACATAGGGCAAATCCTAAGAGGTACCAAACAAGGAACTTCGGTCATCCTCTCCCATGGAGCCACGGACCACATTACCTCTTCTTGGCCATAAAGGAGACAATACACACAGAGTATCACTAACTAGGCACACTCACCTTTGCCTTTGATGTCCAGAGTTCTTATTAGGACTGATCACATATTACCCACATGGTTGACCTTTAGTCTAACCATCCCAGAGGGGAAATTTATGCCTTTAGTCTCCATTCCTTCCAGAGGCAAAACTAATATCATGTTTCCCAAAGTCCTCATAATAATCCTTATTGTTAGATTGTCCAGTGGCCAAATCTCCCAGGCAAACAAAGACACTCCTCTTAGGCAAGACCAGGAACTAGAGTTCACTTCCCAAAAGCTGAAAGTAAAGGCAGAGCTCTAGGTCAAGATTAAATTATTTGCTATATAATCTTTATCACTAAAATGATTGAGCCATACAAAGAGAAGTCAAAAGATTAGGTACCCTTACTAATTCCCATAATCCTCTGTAAATTTTAAGATACTTCTCTACATCTTAAATTTTAAGGTAAGTTATTATAAATGTATAAGAAAAAGGCCTATTCCCAAACACATTCCCCAAACATCTGGCCTGTGTTCTGAATTTAAAGTTCTCACCTATTCTCTTTTGCTAACACATTATAGGTAATGATGGGCACTTGTGCTGGAAACTCTATTGATTTTTAGGCAGTGCTCTGTACAAACATATCTATTTTTACATATTGCACAATGTTACCTAGCTGTACTTTATGATAATAATCAGAACTTTAGCTCTGTGAATAAAATAAATCAGTCCTCAATATGTTTGTTAATTCTAGTGTTCTGCTCTAACTAGGAAGGTAAAAACTGTTTCCTGCCTTTTCCATAATGCATCTTTAAAACCCAAAGTTGTATAGAAATTTTACTATAAAAAATATTGTAAAAGTATTATATTTTTCCAGTTTACAGGGAATACTATGTACTGTATTTACTTCATATTTCACACTGCAAAAATAATATTTTCAATATGATTCATTCTTATAGAATGAATAGCAGAGATAGATGGAGAGATAGGTACAAAATCACAAATAAGTTTGATTGTTACCATTTTATATGCCTATAAAAGTGCTTTATCTTCATTTCTTTTTCTTCCTCTTGCATACAGGAATGCTTTCAGTTTATACTGCCAGCTCTACCTCATGCCATTGACCTTTTACGTGATGCCATTGTAAAAGTAAAGGAAGTGCATGATGAACTTGAAGATTTACCTTCCCCACCACCACCTCTTTCCCCTCCTCCCACAACTAGCCCCCATAAACAGACAGAAGACAAAGGGGTTCAGTGTGAGGAAGAGGAAGAAGAGAAGAAAGACAGTGGTGTTGCTTCAACAGAAGACAGTTCTTCATCACATATAACTGCAGCAGCCATTGCTGCCAAGGTAAGCTTGCTGACTGAGACCCAAAGATCCAAAGGAACCATAGGTAAATGTACTGACTTCATCCCTCTTTCCATCCCATTTTTTCATAAACTCAGTACCTCTTCAGGGCATCCTTTAAAAAGAACCAGGATATTCATGATGCTCCACAGCTATGTTCCCTTCATAATATAGAGTCCTTGAAAGCATTAAACTTTATTCTCAGTTCTAAAACATTAAAGATACTGCTATTACCTATTGAAGTAATAGGCAAATAGATAAAATATGAGATTTAAGAGTTCTTTGGAAATGTCATTTTTGTTGTCATATTAAATATACAATGTTTATATTTAAAACACAAAATATTCACATTCATAAAGGAGCAGCAAACTAAAGGTAAGAGAACTTACATTGATTCAAAAAATTAGTTCAGAAAGATTAGTATTTTTTTAAAGACAAGATTTTTCAGCAATTAACACTTATTTAAATGTTTCTTGACCTAAATTACCCTAGTGGTATAGAGAGGAAATAGATATAATGTATTTGCATTTTTTATTCAATAAAGTAATAAACATTATTAGAATATTACCAAAGTATTATAGATTCTCTTTGGACAATTTTGGCAGTAAATAGAGTACCACAAGGTAATTGCATAAATTTAGCCATCTTAGTCATAGAACATCATTTACATTATTATGCATACCTAGTATAAGCCACCCAGTATGCTTTAAAATCTTCAGAAAATAACGTAGCACTTCTGGGAATAATGATTGTTCATTGATCAAAAGTACAATATTGAAAACCTAAACTTATTCTATAAAGGGATTCCTAGAGTTATCTTGATATATTGACTATGAGCATAGCTTGAGGCAGTTTTTGACAACACATACATTAGAAAGGATCATAGAGATCTTTTTAAGGTGTCCATTTAGACAACCAGTAGGTAGTTCTTTCACTAAAGACCAAATGATTTTGTCTCCAGATCTGTTCTGTGATCCATTAAGTCCTTACTTAAGGCTAGTAAGTATTTAAGTTGTATGTGATTTTTTGCCTTTTGTTTTGTTTTGTTTTGTTTTGTTTTTATGGAACGGATTGGTTAAATAGGCATATCTTTAAATCATTATATCATCTTACTCTTTTACTATTAATTAAAAGAGTAAAAAATACCATCAATTTCAGTCTTAAGAAAAAGCTTACAACATTTGAAGGCTAATAAGTATTTAAGTTGTATGTGATTTTTGTCTTGTTTTGTTTTATTTTGTTTTTATGGAACTGATTGGTTAAATAGGTACTTTTTAAATCATTAAATCTTCTTACTCTTTTATTATTAATTAAAAGAGTAAAATTTACCATCAATTTCAATCTTAAGGAGAAGCTTACGACGTTTGAGGTCTAACTGGATATTGTCATTCTACATTTGAAAATTTTGGACATTTCATTGTTTTATTTCATTCATCACCCTTTTCCTTTCCAGTCATTTTGCTTGTATAGTTTCATGTTTTCCTGTCACTATATTCATAGTTGTTATGTGTTGTGCATTAGAAGCATCCATTCTACACCAGTCCAGCTGTTATCATGGCACACGGTGAGCAGCCCATTCCTGGTCTCATCAATTATTCCCATCATGCAACAGGCAGTGCAGATGAACGGGTAAGACAATAGGCTTTTGCTTTGATGGTTTTGCAAGCATACCGCCTACCTCCTATCCTTGGAGATAGGCTATAACATATTATGGAAGATATGCTTTATTCTGAAGGATCTTCACCATGCTTTTTTTCAGTGTGAGTGCCATTGAGCATAATCAAGGAACTTAATTAATAGAGTTTCTCCTGTACCTGAAATACTCTAATATCGTCATTAAGATTCTGTCATATGTGACAGTGAGCTTTTATCACAGGACTTCAAGAAATTCATTGCTTGGAAGGTATTTTTTTCTTTCCACAATTTTATCACATACCTTTAGATTAATTACCTAGCTTAATTAAGATAAGCTGGTAAAAGGATCACTTTAAGCTTTAAAATATAAACAAATTGGTCAGACTCATTTAATTTCTATTAACTTTGCATTTTGCCTCATGAGTTTTCATCATCTTCTCTTTTCCTTCAATATAGTCGCAGTGAAACCATTTAGAGAGTTGAGTCTTGATACAGTTTCTGAGATTACGAATCTTTAGATAAAAACTTGTAAGGATACATATCACTTGTTTTAGTCACTGGCTGAATGATAGTTTGTACAAAGTTCCAGGTTAGAAAAGATTAAACTGATAAGTATAACTGACTAAACAGTAATAATTTAGACAATGGATGCCAAAAAATCTCAGTCCTTAATATGGATATAAAATGAGAGGCAATGGGGTGCCTGCGTGGCTCAGTTGGTTAAGCTTCTGCTTTCAGCTCAGGTCATGATTCCCAGACTCCTGAGATCAAGCCCCACATCAGACTCTCTGCTCAAAAGAGTCTGCTTTTCCTCTTCCTCTGCCCCTGCTCCTGCTCTCTCTGTCTCTGTCTCTCTCTCATCCACTCTCTCTTATAAATAAATAAAATCTTTAAAATAAAATAAAGTGAGAGGCAAAAAGAAGAAAAAGAAACAAGTGAAATTTGGCTTAAAATCCTTAGAGAGATCCAATTTAAAAATGTACAAAAGATTTGAATAGACATTTCTCTAAAGAAGACATCCAGATGGCCAACAGACACATGAAAAGATGATCAACATCATTCATCATCAGGGGAATCCAAATCAAAACTACAATGAGATATCACCTCACACCTATCAGTATGGTTAAAATCAATAACACAAGAAACAAAAAGTCTTGACAAGGATGTGGAGAAATAGGAACCCTCATACACTATTGGTGGAAATGTAAACTGGTACAGCCACTCTGTAAGGCAATATGGAGGTTTCTCAAAAAGCTAAAAATAGAATTACCCTACAATCCAGGATTGTGCTACTGAGTATTTACCCCCAAAATACAAAAACACTAATTCAAAGGGAGACATGCACCGCTATGTTTATAGCAGCATTATTTACAATAGCCAAATAATGGAAGCAGCCCAGATGTCCATCAATTGACGAATGTATAAAGACGATGTGGTATGTATACGTATACACACACACACATACACACACTGGAATATTATTTAGTTATGAAAAAGAATGACATCTTGCCATTTGCAATGGTATGGATGGAGCTAGAGAGTATAATGCTAAGCGAAATAAGTTAGACAAATACCATATAATTTCATTCACATGTGGAATTGGAAACAAAACAAATGAGCAAAGGAAAAAAAAGAGTTCAATTGGCTTTTGGGATTTACCTGTGGTTGCAACAAAAAGATACCTGTGGGCTTAGCAAGTGCTTAAAAATAAGCTCCTTCAGCAATGTGGTTTATCTGGTCCTATCAGTTGAATTCATTTGGTGTCTTGGTAGATGGTCTCTGAAACTGTTAATAATTTTTGAAGGTAAAATCATAACTTTATTACCAATACTAAATGAAAACATATCCAAGGTGTTATTTCATACATTAATTATTGAGGGAACCAGAAAGGTATTACAACTGCTTCACAGGAAAGTTCAAACACAAATATATAAGCACTAAGAATATGAAAATGAATTTACAAATAGATGCAACATTTAGGAGGCGCCTGGGTGGGTGGCTTAGTTGGTTGAGCATCTGCCTTCAGCTCAGGTCATGATCCCAGGGTTCTGAATTCGAGCCTTGCATCAGGCTCCCTGCTCTTCAGGGATCCTGCCTCTCCTTCTGCTTCTCTCTCTCTCTCTCTCTCTCTCATAAATAAATTTTTTAAAATCTTTAAAAAAAAAGATGCAACAATTAGTCATTATCTGCAAAGCAGATCATGCAAAGCAGCCCATTGCACTTCTATTGGAAAAAGAATCATTTCGATACAAACCATTTGTACATTACTAACAGTTTTTTGCAAGTTGGAGTTGTAAAATATCTGAAAGACAATAGACAGTGAAGATAATCCAGAATGGTCCCCTACACAGGACACCTGATACTTTTTGTCTTGATAAAATTTTTCCAGTCATATGAAAGGAATACAAAGTGCATGGATGTTTTCAAAACGCAAGTAAAATTTTTGCTCAAAATGTCCATGTGCTTTAAAAAAAAAATGTTTGGGGGGAGGGGCAAGATGGCGGAAGAGCAGGGTCCCCAAATCACCTGTCCCCAACAAATTACCTAGATAACCTTCAAACCATCCTGAAAATTTACGAATTCGGCCTGAGATGTAAAGAGAGACCAGCTGGAATGTTACAGTGAGAAGAGTTCGCGCTTCTATCAAGGTAGGAAGACGGGGAAAAAGAAATAAAGAAACAAAAGGCCTCCGAGGGGGAGGGGCCCCGCGAGGAGCCGGGCTGAGGCCGGCGAGTGTCCCCAGGACAGGAGAGCCCCATCCCGGAGAAGCAGGAGCTGCACCAACCTTCCCAGGCGGAAAGGGGCTCGCAGGGAGTTGGAGCAGGACCCAGGAGGGCGGGGATGCCCTCGGGCTCCCTGGGACACTAACAGACACCTGCGAGCGCAGGAGAGTGCTCCGAGCTCCCTAAGGGCCGGAGCTGCTCGGAGGGGCTCGGGAGCGGCTCCAGGGAGGGAGCTGCAGGGCGGGAGTGCGAATCCACCAGCGCAGGCCCTGGAGCACAGGGCGCTGGGACACAGCCCAGGATCCGGCCTCCCCCGGGACAGGCAGAGGCCGGGAGGGCCCAGGACAGCAAGGACGCTCCTGCCCCGAACTGAGCAGATCAGCGGCCCCGCCCCAGAGCCTCCAGGCCCTGCAGACGGAGAACCGAGAGCTCCAAGCCCCGTAGTTCCTGCGGAGTCTAAATCCAGGCTTCCAGAGTTGCCATAGCCACTGCGGCTGTTCCTCCTGGGGCCTGACAGGGTAAACAACCCTCGCTGAGCCCTGCAGCAGGCAGGGGCAGAGCAGCTCCCCCAAGTGCTAACACCTGAAAACCAGCATAGCAGGCCCCTCCCCCAGAAGACCAGCTAGACGGACCAGTGATACTCCCCCCGTGTTCCAATACAACTTGTTTTTGGCCACTCTGCACTGAGCAAAATGACTAGAAGGAAAACCTCACCTCGAAAGAAAGAATCAGAAACAGCCCTCTCTCCCACAGAGTTACAAAATCTGGATTACACTTCAATGTCAGAAAGCCAATTCAGAAGCACTATTATACAGCTACTGGTGGCTCTAGAAAAAAGCATTAAGGACTCACGAGACTTCATGACTGCAGAATTTAGATCCAATCAGGCAGAAATTAAAAATCAATTGAATGAGATGCAATCCAAACTAGAAGTCCTAACGACGAGGGTTAACGAGGTGGAAGAACGAGTGAGTGACATAGAAGACAAGTTAATGGCAAAGAGGGAAACTGAGGAAAAAAGAGACAATCAATTAAGGGACCATGAAGACAGATTAAGGGAAATAAATGACAATCTAAGGAAGAAAAACCTACGCTTAATTGGGGTTCCCGAGGGCGCGGAAAGGGACAGAGGGCCAGAATATGTATTTGAACAAATCCTAGCTGAAAACTTTCCCAATCTGGGAAGGGAAACAGGCATTCAGATCCAGGAAATAGAGAGATCCCCCCCTAAAATCAATAAAAACCGTTCAACACCTCGACATTTAATAGCGAAGCTTGCAAATTCCAAAGATAAAGAGAAGATCCTTAAAGCAGCAAGAGACAAGAAGTCCCTGACTTTCATGGGGAGAAATATTAGGGTAACGGCAGACCTCGCCACAGAGACGTGGCAGGCCAGAAAGGGCTGGCAGGATATATTCAGGGTCCTAAATGAGAAGAACATGCAACCAAGAATACTTTATCCAGCAAGGCTCTCATTCAAAATGGAAGGAGAGATAAAGAGCTTCCAAGACAGGCAGGAACTGAAAGAATATGTGACCTCCAAACCAGCTCTGCAAGAAATTTTAAGGGGGACTCTTAAAACTCCTCTTTAAGAAGAAGTTCAGTGGAACAATCCACAAAAACAAGGACTAAATAGATATCATGATGACACTAAACTCATATCTGTCAATAGTAACTCTGAACGTGAATGGGCTTAATGACCCCATCAAAAGGCGCAGGGTGTCAGACTGGATAAAAAAGCAGGACCCATCTATTTGCTGTCTACAAGAGACTCATTTTAGACAGAAGGACACCTACAACCTGAAAATAAAAGGTTGGAGAACCATTTACCATTCAAATGGTTCTCAAAATATACCCTAAAAACTATAGAACACTTCTGAAAGAAATTGAGGAAGACACAAAGAGATGGAAAAATATTCCATGCTCATGGATTGGCAGAATTAATATTGTGAAAATGTCAATGTTACCCAGGGCAATTTACACGTATAATGCAATCCCTATCAAAATACCATGGACTTTCTTCAGAGACTTAGAACAAATTATTTTAAGATCTGTGTGGAATCAGAAAAGACCCCAAACAGCCAGGGGAATTTTAAAAAAGAAAACCATACCTGGGGGCATCACAATGCCAGATTTCAGGTTGTACTACAAAGCTGTGTTCATCAAGACAGTGTGGTACTGGCACAAAAACAGACATATAGATCAATGGAACAGAACAGAGAACCCAGAAGTGGACCCTGAACTTTATGGTCAACTAATATACGATAAAGG